GAAAACATTCAAAAGGATATGATTATGTGCCCTTAATTACAAAATTACAGACTTCAATCTGGCAAAGGAGAAAAACAAGCTAACCATCATTCAGATAACTAAAAATATAGAACAAAGCAAAATAAGAACTAAATAAGGCCCACAAAAAAGAGCAAGGAACCTTGGGGGCCAATCAGACTTCCACATAAATGAAGCTTCAAAACTCTGGATCTCAAGGTAAAGTTGTTTTATGCCCCAAATCACAAGCATTGCATATATTCTGCTCATACCTTCCGACAAGCTCGTTTGCATACATGTTTATATTCCTTGGCTTTGGATTCAGAATGATAACCTGCACCTGTAGTAGAAAAATAAAAACCAAGTATTAGTTACTATTAAATTATCGGGGACGCTGACTAGATAAGCAGTCCATATAAACTGCTGCAATTCCAGTGCCTTAACTATATGAGATTTTAAAATTTTTAAAGCTTAATACCTCCTTATTCAAAAACATTTCCTGCCAAAGCTCTTAGAAACAGCTCATATCCCCATAGAGCCTCCGCCAAGGTCACTTCTCACCTCCTTTCCGGACCTTCCACCAGGGCTGGAGAGATGGCTAAGCAGGTAAAGATGCCAGCCCCCAAGCCTGACAATCTGAGATCTATCCTCAAGACCCACAGTGTGGAAAGAGAGAGCTAAATCTTGAAACTTGTCCTCTGATCTCTAAACACATACTGATCATACATGTGCTCCCACCCAACCACCCACACATACACACATTAAACAAATATTTAATAATTAAAAAAAAGAACCTCTACGAAAATCAAAAGTTCCTTAGAAACAGAGTTGATGATGCAGGTGGTATCTGAAACAACCTTCAAGCCTCTGCTGAACTTTTAAAAGCCCTGCAACTTTGGAAACTATTGCTAAAGTTCTCAAGAATCATGACTGTTCATTAGAAATCCTGGTCTGTCTTTTAAAAAAATACCCAGACAGTTACTGAAGAGTTTTGCTCTGACTGCATTTATTTCTTTAAGAAAATGTATTTTTTTCAGGCGTGGTGGCACACACCTTTAGGCAGGTGGATCTCTGTGAGGCCAGCCTGGTCTACATAGCACACCCAGGCCAGCTGCAGCTACAGGGAGACCTTGTCTCAAAAAGACCAAAAAAAAAATAAAAAAATAAATAAAATAAAATAAATAAATAAATAAGAAACAAGAAAGAAAGAGAGAATGTATTTTTTATGTGTATGCGTGTATTGCCTACATGTATGTAAGTGCATGTGTGTCATGCAGAAGAGGTTGTCGGATCCCCTGGAACTGGAGTTACGGATCTGGAGTTACGGACAGTTGTTAGCTGCCATGTGGGTGCCAGGATTCAAACCTGGGTCTTCTGCAAGAACAGTCAGTGTTCTTAACTGCTGAGCCATCTCTCCAGCCCCGAAAATGTATTTTTTTAAATATATATATTTATTTATTTGTATTTTATGTGTATGAGTATGCAAGAGCAGCCAGTGCTCTTACCGGCTGAGATATCTCTCCAGCCCCAAGAAAATGACACCAAATGTTGGAGAGGATGTGGGGAAAGGGGAACACTCAGCCACTGCTAGTGGGGGTGCAAACTGGTTCAACCCCTATGGAAAGCAGTGTGGAGAACTCTAAAAAAACTACAAATGAACCTATCATCTGACCCAGTTATACCACTCCTTGGCAGAGACACTTCCTATCGCAGAGACACTTGTACATCCATGTTTGTTGCTGCTCTTTTCCCAATAGCTATGAGATGGAAGCAACCTAAGTGCCCCTCAATTGACAAGTGGATAATGAAAATGTGGTTCATTTATACGATGGAGTTTTACTCCGCAGTAAAGAAAGATGAAATCATGAAATTTGCAGGTAAATTGATGGAACTAGAAACTGTTATACCAAGTGAAGTAACTCAGACTCAGAAAAAAAATTGACATGTTCTCCCTCATATGTGGATCCTACAACCAGACTCTGATAAATAAGTATACAACCAGACATAACTACAGAAACCAGGATAATGGAAAGGAAACAGGGAGGTAAAGGAAAAGAAATAACCTGAAAGAGAAAAAGTAGGAAACAGGCCTTAATAAGGGGAGATATGGATAAAAATTGGGTTAGTTTAAGGGAGGGGGGATGGGAGGGTATACAAGGAACCTAGGGGATAAAGGGAAAGAGGGAGCTCAACAGAGGTAGGACCATAGGAGAAAGGTATTAGTAAGGGAGAAAGGGGGGAAATGGTAGCACCTTAAGAGGGAAAACCATGATGGAGGGGTGAGACAATGTGAGAGATAAACAATGCCTAGCTAGCTTTGAAAACCAGTAAGAATCATATTACTAATACAACCTACTGACAAATTATACACAGCAAATCAATAAATATATGTCTAGGTAAGGTTTATCTGAGAACAACTGGTCTTTGCCTAAGATTTATCTAAATTACACACAGTAATTAAAAATACCAGACTGGTGGAACTAACCTTCTTGGGTGTTTAACAGACATACTTTGAGG